GGCTTCAAAAAAAGCCAGGGACTGTGTATTGTAAATGTAGAAATGTGGTGCCACAACCGTGTCTGCTGACCCAGCCCGGGCAGCACCAGGTTACAGTTTAACTGGAATTGCTCTCCCATGACCTCATTTGTGATTAGGGCTTTATTGCCCCGTTATGTCATCAGGGCAAGCAATCAATGCTGCAGCATTCCCAAAACTGTTCCTTCAATTACGTGTTCACAAAATAACTGGGAAGATTTAGTGCTCCTCCCTTTTCCGAAAGACCAGGGGGAAGACAGGAATTCGCATCAAGATGGAACCATGGAACTCCAGAATGGTTTGGGTTGGAGGGACCTTTAAGCCCACCCCATCCCTTCCACCATTCCACCATCCCAGGGTGCTCCAAGCCCCATCCAGCTGGAGTTAAACCCTTCACTCCTCACGTTTCCAAGGAAAATGAACAACCAGCTCCGGGAGGTGCCAGGTCCCACAGACCCCTCTGACCCAGCCAGGCCCTCCATGCCCATCCCACCGTGGGCACCGAAGCCTGAGGAGCAGCAGGACCTCGGATTGCTGCCCTCAGCTCAGCAGGGACACCCCACCCTCCAGAATTCCTCCTCTTGGGGTAACCATGCCCTAACAATCTGTTACTGGAGTTGGACATTAGGCCCCAAATCAAATCTCCAGAAGTTTGATCAAGTCCCACGTTCAGAAGCTTCAAAAAACTCAAATCAAGTTGTCACTTTCTTATTTTTGAATCCTTGTAATTCTTCCTCGAGACTCAGGATATCCTAAAATCCAGGGGGGAAAAAGGGGAATGGAGACTGTGGAGATTCTTTGTGCATGTGCTTAGTGCAGCCCAGCAAGAAACTCAAGAAGGGACCTCTCCACTTGGGAAACATTCCTCAAAATTCAGCCACGTGATAAATTAGAAAACACTGTGAGATGAACATTCAATTCCACCATAAACCCCATAATTTTTTAATGGGACTGTTTACAGCATACTCAACATTGGGGTAATTGTACAAATAAAAACCAGGCAAGCTTTGTTTCCAACCCCTTCAGAAACAACAAGGGAATTTAAGGGACAAATACATAATTTTATGATGATCTATAATTTAATTTAACTGCCCACAAAATTATATCTGACTGTCAAAATTCCTCATGTATTCTATACAAATACCCTCAGTAAAGATCATTTCAAAGAGATGGCAATAATTAGATTAAAAATTACAAATCAGAATAATCATTTACACGTAAGAGACCGAGCGAGGCAAAGCACCAATTAACTGAATAAAATCAATTTCCATTTGGAATAATCAAGCTTGATAGACTGTCTTGCTTATTTAGTCACTTTGTGTCTAATTCAGGTGGCCAAATTATTATATTTGCTTTGATTTCCATGGGAGAGGAGGTCAGCAGATGTGGTAAATCCATTATTTGTTCCAAAAAATGATAATTAAAGAGAAATACCCGAATGCAGACAATAATCACCACTTTTGTAATACTAATTTTTAAATGCTACCCAGTTCAGCTATTTCTGTGTGTCTTTCCCAGCACTCTTGAGTCTCCAGACCCAGCCCATCATGGAGAACACGAGTTCCAATCCATTTCAATTAACAAGGCTGGGATCTCCTGGGAATATAAATCACAGCTTGTCACCAGCAGATTAAGCACTGCATTAACAGGGCTGCTGCAGCCAGGATTAGCTGACACTGCTGGTGACATGCCACCCTTACAAAGTGACTTTGCCACTTGAAAAGCGGTGGGGGAATTTTTCAATCAATGGGATTTCTACAAATGCACCCGGGAGTGGATGGGCTGGGCCAGGGAAATGGGTTGGAGCTTCAAAGGTCCCCTCCAACCCCAATTAATCCAGGAGGCAGCAGCACTGAGTGTGGCAGGGATTTTCTTTTATTTCCTTTGCTCACCAGGATTACTCAAAGCAGTTGTGTTGATATTCTATGACATAAACTGAATTAAGACCAGGAGTGTAATGATCTCTGCAGCCTTAATTTGGAGAAAAATATACACTGCCTACTCATGTGTTGCACATCTGGCTTATCTGCAACCCCACAGATAGGGAAATGAAGGGAAAAAAAAAAGGAGAGATTTCTTTTCCATGCGTGAGTGGTCTGAATGAAGCAATGCAAGGCTTGTTGTATCTAAAACTGCCCTGGTCAGGCTTGGAATAGGCAGCTGTCAGATAAAAAACTCCATCACAGAATCAAGGAAACTTTTAGGTTGGAAAAGCTCTCCAAGACAGAGTCCAGCTGTTCCCCCAGCACTGCCAAAGCCACCACTGCCCCGTGTCCCCAAGTGCCACATCCACATGGATTTTAAATCCCTCCAGGGATGAGGACTCCAAACTGCCCTGGGCAGCTGGGCCAGAGCTGGACAAACCTTTCCATGAAGGAATTTTCCCAAATATCCACCCTGAGCCCAACCTGAGGCTGTTCCTTTGTCTTGTCACAAAACTGCCCAAACTGCCCCCAGAATTCCAGGCCGGCCTCCCCAGTGTCCAGCACAGGGTGACCACATTAGGAAAAGTGCACAGAAAAAAGCAGAAGGAATTACTTCAGAAAGAGAGAGAGAGAGAGATGAGAAGTATTTTCCAATTCAAAGCTGTTTTCACGCTGCAATAAAAGAGGTCAGGATGACTAATGCATTCTCTCACAGATGGACATTTACCCTCAAACACTTTTTGAAGAATTCTTTAGCCAGCTTTTGCAGGAAATATCCTGCAAAACTCAGCAAGTGCATTTCTGAAGTGACCATACAGTTCCAAAGTCAACACAATGAGGACACTATTTCACTATTTCCTACCTAATGCATAGAAAATTGCTTAATTATTTCCAAAAATCTCAACAATTTTTCAGTAGTTCCTTTTGTTACAAAAAAAAAAAAAACAACAAAAAACAACCCCAAATGCAAAAAAGTAGGTTGAAGTCCCCTTACCATGTATTTTTTAAAGTTCAATTTGTGTTGTGGCATGAATGAAGGCTTTAATCATTAAAGCAGATAAAATAACCCCTACCTAAAGTGAAGTTGTGAAGTCCCATGATTTCAGCATAATTAATTAATTGAGCCATGTTTTATTTAGGTGCTTACACAAGTGCAAGAGGATTATTTCTAAATAAAACCAACAGAGCTGTAAAATGCTCATATGGAAAAGGTCCTTGACAAGTCCCCAAGGCCAATCCCTCCCCAGAGGCTGGACCCATCCCCTTCCTGGCAGGGCAGGAGATGATGTGTGAGGGGACAGAGGGACCCCATGCCAGGGATGCTGAAGAACTGGAAATTTGGATGAGCAGCTCAGACCAAATCCCACTGCACAACAGCCTCAGCCAGAGCAGAGCAGCCACAAACTGGGAAGCAGGAAAGCAAATCCCAGAGCTGGATGCCACCATCCCTCCTCCAGGTCCCCTTGCAGTGTCCCACCCCCCTAACCTCACCTTGCCCCCATCCACACTTGGTGTCACACAGGTGACTCCACACACAGGTGCCACTCTCAGCCAGCTGCTCCCATGCAAACAAAAGCTCCTTCAGAAGCATTGCTGCAGCTGAAGAACGTTTCTTCAGCTCCAGGAAGAGCTGAATCAGCTGCCTGCAGCATTTAAATCCCATATTTCCGCTGCTTCGTGTAATCAATCCCCTGAGGTGAATCTCTGTTGTATGACATTTTTGCAGGAAGAACTGACTCTTTTCAGTTTGTGGGCTTTTTTTTTTTTTTTTTTACTTCTCCCCTGCAGTTGGGCTTGGACTTATTCCCTTTTTTTCAGGCCATTTCACCATTTCCTCATCGCTGAGATGCAGGGTTCTGCACTTGCACTGCAGGGCTGAGTGCCTGCAATTAAGAACTTGCTCTCAATTAACCAAACGACGTGGGGAGAGCCAGTGGCACCTGCTGTACCTGCTGCTGGTGGGTGAAGGAGTTAAAGAAGGTTTCATTAGCATTATCAGCAGCCAGCCACGCAGTTTTATATATAGAAAATATCATGAGTGAGGAGCCAGCCCGCCCTGGCCCCCCTTCCCCAGCAGCGTTTGAGGAACATCTGACTAAGCCCAGCTTTTGGAGCCTACAAAGAGCAGCCAATCTACTCAAAAAGAGTGTGGGAGAAAAGGCCTGGGCTGATTTTGGGCAGAGGAGGTTTAGAAATTGCCTTGGCAATCTCCAATCACTGGGAATTCTAGCTCAGAGGCAAAAGCCTAAAAGATATTTAAAAGTTTCCAGACAGAGGCTCAGCACAGACAAAATGATACAGAGATAAAGAGTTCCAGCATGAAAGGGGTGACCCTGCAGGGCACAGGGACAGTGGTGGCACAGCAGGATGCTGAGCCAGCAGGCAGCCCCGGGCTCTGGCCACTGTCACTGTCCCCACAACAAAGGGAATGGTCTATGCCACAGCCATTTCCCACCCCTGCTCCACATCCAATTGTGTCTCTTGCTCTGTCCATCCTTTGTGGTCTCATTTTAGTTAAGAAAGGGCTCTGCAGCAAGGCTCTACTTTGAATTATTTACTATTTCTCCTTCAAGCTCAGCAAAGAATTGAGGCCATTAACACAAACATGGAGAAGGAAAAGAGACTCATCAGACTAACCAGGGCACTAATCAAATAATCCAACATAGGCTAGCAAAGCTCCAGGATTTGCTTAAAAAAATCTTAGAGGAACAAACATTTCAGATAAAAACCACTTTGACTGGTTTTAACAGCTCATTAATATCTTTTATGGTACTAAACAGCTACCCATACCCCAAATTAATGGCCTTTTTCTGAACAGGGATGGGGAACCTTTCAAGCCAAAGCAAAAACTTGCAATTCCATTTTCCCAAGTCTCCAGCACCCCCCTGTCCCAACAGGCCTGTGAAGTCACAAATTAGGGTCACCTTTCCCCATGCACTGTCAGCAAATCAATCTGGGCTGCTTTTCAAGCAGGGCTCACACATAAATTAGGCAGTCTGCCATTGATTCACACGAGAAACCCTTGAGCAGTGGAGTGAAACACCAATAAAATCTTACAATTAACTTGAGAAGTTGCCTTTGGTTCCGTCCCAGCGGCCCTTCTGCTCCTCAGCTGCACAAAACATGTCCTCACACAGATGCTCCTTTGTAATGGCTCTGGATGAATGTTTAAAATTGCTCCTTGAACACAAAAACTAATTACAGCCAAGGGCAAATACTCACAGAAGAGTTTTATGCTGCATCATGGCCAGACTGAACGCTTGTGTTTCAGCTGCTGTTTCATTCTGGGGGAGAGAAGGGGAGGAAGGGAAAAAGCAAAAGCAGAAGTGTGCTTTGCCTGACTCTGTAGGGTCAGAAAAGGAGAACACACAGCTGGATGTGTGATAATTCACTGCAACACGTCAGGAGGAGCAACACAGGAAGGAAGGAAGGAAGGAGGGAGCAGGGCTGTGCCTTAAAGGTTTTCAGCACAGCAGGTTGGAACCCTCACAGGTGTCCCCAAAGTCTAGCACAGCTCTGCGCTGCAGAAATCCAAATCCAAACAATCAGAGTTTGAATGAAGGATTGAATTTGGGGTTGAATGAAGGATTTAAGTGTGCATGGGGAGCTGTCACAGAGCTGCTGGTGCCAGCAGCAGTCACTGAACACATGCAGAGGCACCAGCTCACTCCTGACTCCTGAGCTCCTCCACACCAGGTCCCTGCAGAGCCAGACCCCCACAGCCCCTCCAGGCAGGACCCAGCACCAGGGACACCCTTCAGGGGTGGTACCTGCCAAGGAAGCTCAGCAGCAGAGCCTCGGGCACATCTTTCAGAGTCAAATTTAAAGATAGAAGGATCTTTTCAGTGCTGAAATATGAAAGTGAACAGCAAAGGTTTTCCTTGGCTGGGCAGCTCGCTGGTGGGATGGGTCAGGAATTGCAGCCCCACCACAGAGCTGCTCAGATCTGCTGCTTCAGGGAACCCAGCCACCCCCCTTTCCTCCTCCCCATGTCCTTCATGGAGTAAACATATCTCATGTGTCCCTTGAGCTGCAGAAGTTCTTGCTTTTAAGCTTTCAGCTGCTTCCCAAGCAGAGCAGATTTTTAGCTGTGTAACTGGAGAAGAGGTGATGGCACCACTGTTTCCAGGTTTCTCATTCCTCTCCTCACCTCTGCAGCAGCTGAGACTCTCCTCCAGCAGCTTCCCTGGCCATGGAGCTGCCAAGACTGAAAGGAAAAAGCTTTTGATGATAATGTGCTGAGGCCCTGGCACAGGCTGCCCAGAGAGGCTTTGGCTGTGCCCATCCCTGAAGTGCCCAAGGCCGGGTTGGACAGGATTGGAGCAGGATCATCATTTTGATGCTCTCAAAACTCTTCCCAAGTTAAATTATTCTGTGAGTCCATGTCCCTGCTCATTAGAGGGCTGGACTAGGTGGCCTTTAAAGGTCCCTTCCAGCCCAAACTGTTCCAGGTTCCTTTGGATGCTGCTGCTCCCAGCACACAGGGATCAGCTGCTCCAGAGCACAAAGGCTTTGCCATTCTTATTCCTTTTGTCTCCTACCCAACACACCCACACATCACCCTGCAAACGAGGGGGAGCAGCAAGGAAAACTCACTTTTCCCTGAAACGTGAACCAGTTTAATGATCAAACTCACAGGCACGGCCCAACCCCAGCCAGCAAAACTGGGGTGCCAAAACAGGGATGGGCAAGGGACAGCAGAGACAACAGGGCACGACCCTCCCTGGGATCTGGAGTGCCACATCTCTGCTGCCAGGGACTGTCCTGGCACTGCCTCCTTGTGGGTCTGTGCAGCTCTGTCAGATGAATTCTTACTGCTGTCAGACACACGGACAGACAGACAGGAGCTGAAGGAATGCCTTACAGACCTTATTCCTTAAGGCCTCCACCCCCAGTTCTCCCCTTCCTTTAAGCTCAGGGTATTTTCCACAGCCACGCTCAGTGTTTTTCTCAGCTCCTGTCATGACCTGGCCCATGTGGCCCACCCACATCCCAAGCTGGCAGCCAGGCAGGAGTGACTGTCACCAAACACTCCTCCAAAGCATCCCAGGAAAAGAAAATCCCCCTCTCTGGAGGTGTCTGGATACAGCTCCTTCATCCTGAGCCAGCTGCATCCACACACTGACAAAAACATGAACCAGAATCTCTCCAAACTTGATAAAAGTCACTTTGGGGATTATTTTTAAAGCCAAGCAACAGTTCTTGATGTTCAGAGTAAGGCACTGATCTGGTGAGGAGAGCACAGGACCCTGCTCACTCTGTACATCCCAGGGGCCCTCAGGAAGCATCAGCTTCAAACCAGCACACGCTGCACTTTACACCAGGAAAAAATCCACAGCCTTTGTAGCCTTTTCCCCCTGCAGCTTCCACTTAGGAAGTGTCTATTTATTTATGTGTATTCTATAGATGTACAACTCTCTCTCCACTTTTATACAAAGCAACACTAAAACTCCAACACGCAAAAGCTACCCCAGAACATTCATCCCCCACGAAGTCCCCTGAGAGCAGCAGCAGTGACAGCAAAAAGGCTCCTGACACTGCAGCCACGAGCTCCTGGTGCAAACCTGCTTTTCCAAGCCCTCCCCACTGACCAGCAGGGACATTAAACGAGTACAAAACAGTTACAAAGCTAATGAAGCAAAGGCTGCCAGATGTTGAAGTGCCACCCCAGATAATTCCAGGGAACACCTGTTCCCTGCCCGGGGCTGGATCCCAACAGCAGCGTGTGCAAATGCCAGCAGGGATTCAGGGGAACATCTGTTTTTCTGTGAGCTGCTGGCTGAGCATCCATCAAAAGGCTGATATTCCAATTATTTCTTTGGAATGGCTGCTCTGGGCACAGGCAGCAGCTCCCTGCTCCTGCAGCACCAGGAACTGAAGCAACAGCCTGGCCCGTGGTACAGATTTAGCATCTGCCACCAGTGCTTGCTATTCCTCTTTTCCTCTGACATTCCCAAAGTTAGCAGATATATATTTACTCCCCAGAACTAAACTTATGGCATCAACAGCACCAGCTTTAATTCTAAATCTGGCTCTGGGACATGAAATGCATCTGATTTTCTCATCCATTATTAAGTCCCAGGCATGTTAATAAGGCATTTATCTCCAAAAAAGATCATTACCCATGCGGATTTCTAGGGATAGTCGAGTTCTTTACAGCCTGGAGTCTCAGGACATAAATAGAAACTGCATTTACTATTAAAATTAAACCAGCAAGGCTGGGAGTTATTAGAAAAGTAAAAGCCAAGCCTGCAGCGTGGTTGTGCAGGCAGCTCTGGGAGCCTGCATTCAATCCTAGGGATGCAGGCACTGCAACCTGCCAGGGAAACTGCAGAACTGGAATTCCCCTGCATCCCTGGAATTCTCCCCATCCCAGTTCACAAACAGTGCTGAAAGCATCAACCTGAACCCTGGGTCTGCAGTGAGAAAATCAAACCCCCCCTGAATAAAATAGCTGCAACTTTTCATGCATAACACAGGGTTAGGGTTTCCTGGCAGGGGGGAGATTTTTCTTTGCTCAAGTCTGGAAAAGAATTCTTATCATAAAAGAGGAACAGCATCAACAAGAAAACCCCAAGAGGAAAATGCTGACACATGCTGGAAAAGCCACTGGAGAGAAAAATTACTTTAGTGACGATGTTTCTGCAGCAGTTGGGGGAGAATAAATGCAGCAAGAACTGCCACCCCCACCTACAAGTTAGATTTTGAGGGCATTCACCACACCTCTAGGGGACTGCATTAAATCTTCCATCATTTCAGCTCTGACCACTCTTGGGCTGGGAAAATTCACTAAAACCCAATAAAACAGTGTCAGTCTGAGCTGAGTTTTTGGAGCCTCTTTTAAAGTCTGAAGACTTCTCAAACTTTTGGCTTGCCTTGGATTTGGAGAAATGGATATATATTGAAAGAGCAAACCAAATTATTGTCATAATTTTGGAGATGAATCCTACCTGAGACACGTGGTACTGGGAAACCAAGCAGCCAGAAATCAGCTGGAAAATGAAGGAGTGAGAGGCAGAGCTGGAAGGCACCACTTAAATGTTGGAATCTCCACTTAGAACACCTGCATTCCATTCAACATTAATTGTGGTGGCCATATTCTCCAACTTAATTGTTGGAATCTCCATTTAGATCACCTGCATTCCACTCAACATTAATTGTGGTGGCCATATTCTCCAATTTAAGTGTTGGAATCTCCATTTCAAACACCTGCACTCCATTCACTCTTTAGCATAAGCTGCATCATGTAAACAGTACACTTTAAATAGAATTTTATATTCAGCTCAAAAAAATCAATAAAGCGTTTCTCAAGTTTTAGCTGGTGCCAGTGCTGGTAAAATTAAGCTTAAAAATGGAGCTGAAAATTTAAAAATGTTGTTTGGTATCACCTGCAAATCACATGACAGCTGAACAGCACTTCAGATAAATGATTCTGACATCAAAGATAGAGCTGGGCTAAAATCTACCCAAAAAGATAACGATCCCTGATGGCTGCACTGATAAGAGGCTGCACAAACCACTGACAGCTCCACCACCAGAGATGTCCTTCCCCTGTGCCCACCTCACCTCCCATCCATCGGCAGCAACATCTCACTTTTACAGCCCTAAGAAGTGACAGATTCACGGCCATCCCTTGAAGCAATGACACTCACAGTGCAAAGGCTCCTGGTGAGCTTGAAAAAATGATCTGTCAGCCCTTCAGACCCCAGCTGGAACTGGGGGCGCTTCCCACTGAAACATAAATTGTAAGGAATTTAGAGATTTTAGAGGAGCTAAGATTTTAGTTAGAGATAAGCCTCACTAGAGTTATTAAAATAAATGAGTAGGCCTTGATGAAGTTAAGAGTTAGTAGTTAACTAATAACTGATTGCTTGTCAGCACAATGTTTAGTTAGCTGGGTTTATAATGAAGAATACACAAACTGACAAAGAGCTTTTAGGAACATAAGACAGTTGTGGCCTCCTCTGTTCTGGAGACAAGGAATGGGAGTTCTACCAAAAGTTCATTTGTCATATTGGCATTGAAAAGGTAGAAAGGTCAGAAGGAGGAAGACTTCATTGACTTCCTCATTTTGGGACCCCTCCCCGTGAAAGGGACACCAACTCATTTCAAGGAACAAACCACACATGCTGAATAGCTTTTGAAGTGATTAGCATACAAAGCGGGGAATGGGATGT